TAAGGACAGAGGGATGTCATATGCTGTAAAGCCCTGTGAGGCAAATTGTGATTTGTGATATTGGGCTTTATAAATAAAATTGAATTGAATTGAATTGAATTCCTGGTAAATTACTGAGGTTACCTTTCATACACCCCTAGTGATTTTCACTATTCACACATGCACTACATTAAGGAACATTTCCATCTTGCGTCTTTTCACACATGCCATGGCAGTGCTGGAGTAGATGGGGCAGGGGACTATACAGCAGATGGCGTTAATGCAACATTTATAGAATCCATCCACCACAAACTCAGCAGAAGAAAAAGATGATGGGGCAAACCCATGGGGATGATGTCTCTAATTATTTTCAGGAACATAACAGGTGAGGAGCTTTTTTGTCCAGTGCCAGTGTGCTTGTAACGTATTTAATATTCCTCAAGTTTGCGAGATGAGTGATGTTTTTTGTAATCTACTTGAATTAGAAACACGCATTTGAATACATGATTGGTTTTGTGATTGGTGTGCTTGCTCCACATGAGCTAGACGTAGCCCTTTACACATACTTGTCCCTGCAATGTTACTGCTTTTGTTTACAACACAGCCATACTGGCATTTTCCCTGAAATTGTTTTTTTCTCAAGAAAGTCTTGAGGTGCAAAATTAGCAGTACATATGATACCATGCCTGAACATTTCTTTAGTAAACATTTAACTTTCCTTAGGACATTTTTAATCCTGATCCTATATGCTACTTTTGACTCCCTTTGTTGTGGAGCATGCACATGAATGTAAATCCAGTTTAGTATATTCTGTTTCTCATCAACATGGGCACTGTAATTGATTTAAGTTAATCTCACATACACTGCCCTGCTGCTGTAGGCTAAATGATTGCTAGCATACAAACTATGTATCACTCACCAGCTGTAAATAGTCTCTAAATATCCTAAAGACTCTGGCACAAGTGTTAGTGATAGTTTTCTAATATACATTGAATAGCAAATAGCTTACTGTATTTTGGTTACAGATTGATTTATACAATGTAATATCTTTATAGAATATATGTCCACAATTTATTATTATGTCCTTATTTTTTTGTCTAAGGTCAGAGAGCATGAGCCGGTGGGTGCCTGAAGGACGTAAAGAGAGGCCAGAGATGTCTTGGAATCATAAATGATGCCTGCGGTTCTTGCTGACTTTCCTAAGCAAGTTTGGGAAGGGGGGAGAGGGGTTCCTTTCCTGGTCAAGAATACTGAGGCTCGCTTTCCTGACATGGGAACCAGGGGACTACAAGATGCTTGCTCCCCCATTTAGGAGGGAAATCTGCAGCTGGAGATGCACCCAACTCCAACAGCTAAAGGCCTAGTAAAGCCTGCAGTAGACAGAAGGTGACTGACAAACACAGGGAAATGATGTGTAACATTGTAAACCACATTTAAGCTAAATTCCTTCAATGTCAAGCTCAGCTCACATCCCAGCCACATCAGCTGATCTTTAACAGCCCAATCAACTGATGGAGGAGCTTTGTGATGGAAGGGAGTCAGCTGATAGATCACATGAATCCTTTCTATCCAACCAATTGGCAAATCTCATAAAGTATATAAAAAATTCATGGTGCCCTTTTTAATCTACTTTGGCCTGCCTACTGTTGCTGCTTCCTTTGCAAGCCGCTTTGTAACCCGCCTCCACCCCAGCTCCTCCTTTTCATGCTGTTTCTGACTTATCATTGATGCTGCTCTGTTCTGTTCCTGGGAGGGTCTTTGCTGCTGCTCTCCCTGCCTTAGTCTTTCCATGTAGTAACATGGAAGGGCAGAGGTGTGCTCTCTCTGCTTTAAAGCTTTCCATGCAGGCACCTGAAATGGAGGAGAGGTGTGCTCCCTTCGCCTCAGGCTTTCTGCGTAGGCCCGGGGAGCCATACCAACAAATGTAATACTGCAAATGGAAATAAAGTCTTTGACAAAAGTGTTCCTGACTGAACTAAATGTTGAGTACGTCAAGAGCAACCAATGAAATTTAGCATATTTTTGGTTTAATTAAGCCAGAGGACTGCATGTGTGTGGAGTGATTAAAGTGTAACTGCCCTTTAAATGACTGTAGCTACTTCTTTATTTGTAATTCATCAGTGGCCGTGCAAATGTGAGTCCATATCAACAGAATTTGTTCAGGTTACAGGATGAATCATCCCAGGTAACTGTTCAGCAGATGATAAAGATGGATCAAGAATGTCAGCAGGTAAATTCACTTAATAGCTCATTAAGCATCACCAGCAATGTGTAAACATACAGTAACCATTTTTACATATAGTGGATAAATGTGTACCATAAGTATTCATACAATAATACTGGCACAGCAATCAATCATTCAACAAACACATAATAACAAAGGAGTGTTAGCTAGTTTCCTTGAGGTCATATATTTTTTAAGTTGCATGGTTTAACCAGGGCTGATTCAAAATGCCCTACAGTGACCATGCCGTGTGTCTTTGACCACTGTGGAAGCATCTGGTGCTAAACGAGACAGTCATCTGATCTGTTTACTCATCAGAGATGGGGGATGGCTTGACTGTGGCTACGTCCATTATTTTATACAGTCTGTGGGTCAAATGTGTCCCAGACCACCTCAGCAAGTGGTTTGAGTGATCGGATCACTGTATGTCTTGGTTCTTGTTTACACTTGTGTTTGGCACTGTCCACTTGTGACTCAATTGCCTGAGACACATTTTTCAACCAAGAGCCTTTTCTCCATTACTTTAAGCTGCAGTTACATTCATAAAACAAAACAAAACACACATTGTCCTTGTTTATCCTCAAAAGGTCACTTCGAAATGAAACATATTTCTCATTCATGAGATACTGAAACATGCAGCTAATTTGTTATATGAGCTCATATTTTTAGATGTCTGTCTCTGAAACATCTGCCACCACCTCAATACAATGCATGTGATTTTTTTGTGCTTATTGTTAATTATTGTGGTTTGTGATGTAATTCTTTTTTTTATTAAATTTCAATGAGATGTGAAATTCATCAGGCCCACTCATGCTTTTATCATGACCTATGTGGCTGTAATTTTATGTGTATTGCCCCTTTAATGCGGAGGTGTGGCACCCAGTCTAGCAGACAGGAGGACTTTACTAACCTGTCCCTGAACCTGGTGCCTTGAGGTTCAGTCCAGCAGATGCTTCAGGATCACCTGATGGTAAAATCCACCTGTCCTCCTTCCCATGACATCACCCCACCAACAAACACTCACACACTGTGGTGATGTGTTATCCAGTGTGTAACTCACAGCATGTTGTCTCTGTGCTGTTGTCCAGGAGACAGAGCTGCACTTCAGATGTGACTGTGGTGACAACATATCCAGCCAGCAGTCCTCCTTCACCACCCTGCCCAGGTGAGTGACATCACATCTAACATAGGCGCTCTGCCTAGTGGTGACAGCTCAAATGTTTTCATCCTCTTCTTGTGTTTGTTTCCTGGGTTGATGCTGTATCTGGAGCGTTTTCACTTCACTCCATTTCTGCAGCTGGAGAAGCTGAATTGTCCTCTTCAGGGAGCTGCTGCTGACCCCCAGCCAAGTAAGAAACAACTGACCTGAGGTCAGATACAAAGTCAACATTTGATCTGTGTGTTCTGGCCTTCAGTGTGTGTAGTTAACCACTGTTGTTCCTCCTCAGGCTGATGGTTGGTACAGTCTGGTGAGTGT